TGGAGTATACAGTTACAGTATTGTCACTGAAACAAGTCCCTAATTTAAACAATGATTTTTTTCTACATCTAAATGTATAAAAGTGGGTACAGTACTATATATATGCAAAATTGGGCCAGTCATAATAATATACATAATACATTTAAAATATGAAATACATTGATTTCTTTCTAGTAACAATTACCTGTGATAGCTTTAAAATACAGATATTTAGCAATGTGTAATATATTTTTAATATTGGTTTCATTAGGATCTTTTGACCTAAGTTAAATGGTAATGATGAAAAATAGACCATTTGCTTAAAAGCAAAGCCCTTATTAAATCTAAAATATTATGGCACAAAATCAAACCACAAAGGGCCCACATTATGTTATCCTTGCATTTTTAGGAAAAATTGTGAAGGTTCCCACACACTGCAAATGAAAAGAAGACACTCAAATTCACTCAGGCAAAGAGAAGACAGCTTCTGTTAAATTAAATCCCTTTCTAGTACCTCAACTATAATCCTAACAAATCACTACATTATTTCAGTTAGCAGAATAACTTTTCTAGGGTGAAATAAGTGCAACTTATTTTGTCATTTTTGCTAAAAATTTTTGTCAAATAAGACTTTGAGTTGAAAAGCTTGAGTAACTCTAGCCTATCTTAAACTGTAACTTTATTTTAAACTTCTGTATTTTATTTCAATAGAATTTTAAGTATATACTGTGCACATTCCTCAGGTCTAGTCATATTAAATTCTGATGTTAAGCAGAAAGGAGAAACCATATGCAATTAGATTAATTTATCTCAAGGGAAAAAGAGCACATTAATAATTTAGATAATGTTTTCCTATGTTAGAATCAAATGTGCCTTTTCACATCTGTATTAGAAAATGCATTAGGATACAATTATCTCATTCTCATCAAATAAGACCTAATTGCTGAGAAACTCTGTTTTCTTTACAAAATAGTCAGAAGAGTTTTCCCATTATGACCAACTAGTTAGAAATGTATCATGCATCCAAGTTTTGTTAGAATAAATGCATATGACCAAAGTGTATAATGGTTTAATGTACCCTGTAATGTTTTTGTTTTAAATTATCTGAGTTTATTATTTTTGTAAATTACATGAAAATTCTGGTTCTAAAAAAGAAAAAATTGGCCAAAAAAAGATAAATATTTTTCTTTTAGAGTGCTAATCTCTTAAATTACAAAAAAGTCACTTTGGCTTTTGCCTAAAAAAAAAAAATAAGAAAGAAAAATTCATAGAATTTCCCCAAAACGCCCAAAAGTGTCTAAGTACATTGAAGGTTGACCAATAAAAGTTTATTTTCTCTAGCTTGCTATATTTTGAAGAATCAGAATTATTAACAAAAATTATAGTAACTATGCAACGTTAAGCCCTCTTGCAAACCAAGCAAGCAAGCAAGCTCTCCATGGCTGATGTATGTTAAATACAAAAAGCCACTTTTCTACAAAGAAAATAGAGCTTTTAACGATTAAACAAAAGGAGTAACTGAGGTGAATCTGATGGTTTCTATAATAGCCTTCATGTATATAATAAAGTACAGCCATACTAAAAACAATGAACTATAAACTGAAACAAAAATCCATCATCTACTTGGAAATAGTGACAGCAAAAGATTAGCAATCCATTTATTGTATGGAAATAAAGATAAGTAAACCAGGTAAGATCCATCAGGACCTAAGTATTGAACTCTAAGTACAGACATTTCTTTAGCAAATGACTTTTAAAAATAGGATAAAGAGAAACAATTACAGTTATGACTTTCAAAGTGAGAGTCATGATTCAATTGCTTTTAATTTTTTTAATCTGCCTTACTTTAACCCAATAGATTTAAAAAAACAGTAACTATTATGAGTCACTCAACAATCATTGCCATAAGTTTCTACAGATTTACAATATATCCCAATTACTAATTTCTCCTAATAGAGAAGTAATATGATGATTTAGAAAATGTTTTCACAAAATAATTTAGGTCTGAAAGGAAACACAAAGATTTAATAAATAAATCTAATATTTAGAATCTTTTGTTATAAATCTAAAAACCCAAACATTTTATAAAGCAATAAATCATGTTTAAAAAAATATAAATAAATTCACGCTTCATCTCTTAAGAATAACTAGCAAAATACCAGCAAAAATCTGAAACCTACTAAATCAAGTGTTTTATCTTACAAATGGGCATCAGAATTAAGTTACCTGGCCACAGTCACATTTATATGATCTATCAGGAGACTGAAACATATCGTAAGGCTAAAGCATTAATATGTCTTCAATCCCCAAAATGTATGTTATTCTAACTGTTGTCCAAGATGAGAAAATAAATAGATCATGTTCTGAATTTAAAAGTAGGGAGGGACCAGTCAATCATTCAAGCGTCCACCAATATATTCAGAACTTTTTTGTCAAATAAAGAACCAATTCTATGAACCCCACACATTCAACCTACATATCCCTAACTATTGGTAAGACTCATTTTATATACACTAAAGTATCAAAGATAAATAAATAAAATAAAACAGTTAAAAGTCTCTAGATTCTATAGCAGAATTTTAACTTCATTAAGTACAAGTAAAGGTACAAACGAAAAGTTCCAGTTTCCACTGTTAATATATATTAACATATATGTAGTGGTTTCTGGCCAACAGTCTAACCAGTCAAAGCCTTGTAGATAAAACAAAACAAAACCAAAGTAGGAATTATGAGCTTTTTTTTCATGTGTATGGATTTGTCCCCTGGTACTCTAAAAATAGATGGGCACTAAACCCAAGACATTGGAGAGAACCAAAATAGTTTTCAGTTTTAACATTTTCACATAGAGTATATCAGTACCATTGAACAATGACTTCACAATTTCTTCAGAAAAGTATTGGCAGACCTTTAACTGGACAGTATCAGAGTTCCTAATAATGCCACTGAAGCATGAAAAGTGCCTGGAAGTATTTTAGAAATGTTAACCACAGTGGATGTTACAAAGTAATTAGTCAGAAACAAACCAACTAGAAAACGTAGCAAAGTCAGATATTTCTCACTTTTCAGATTTTCCTATCCAAAAGCTCTAACTTCGAATCTACTTCTGTGTTTTCTCCTTCCCAGTATCCCTTTCAATTCTTCTATTAAAAAAAATTTTAAATAACCATCTGGTAGCATAATTTTGTCCATCTCTTTTTTATCCCCCTTTATCAGGAACCTTTATCCTGAAAGAAGTAAGTTCGTATAGTTTTCTCAACAATGGAGAAGCCTGAGAGAGTGAGCATTGTGTCTCATTGGATAAATGGGTTGGCTACCACATTGCTCTGGTAGTGTAGTGGTTACGAATCGGGCTGCAAACCTTAAGGTCAGCAGTTCGAAACTACCAGCCGCTCCGCGGGAGAAAGATGAGGCTTTCTATTCCTGTAAAGATTTACACCCTTGGAAACCCTGTACAGGGTCGCTATGGGTTGGAACCGACTCAACGGCACTTAACAACAACCATATTGCTATGGCTACCTTATTTCTATCTTGGACTGCTGAAGTGAGGGCTCAAATACTCAGTTTCTCCCTTCAAAAAAGTCCTTGCAAACAGACCTCAGCACCTAATTCTCATCAGTCAGCTGAGGGTTCTGAGGACCAGATCTGTTTTCCCCAATATGTTACTAACATATTGTTACCAACATATGTTACTAACATATTTTGCAGAGTGGGTACTCAGGAAAAGTGTGAGTGGATTATTGAGTCTCATGAGTTTTATCTGGTAAAGATGAAACAGTCACAGTGAAAAGTAATCACCTTAACAGGTCACTCAGCCAACTGTGAGGGTCAAACTACTGCAGAAATGATCCATTAATGGAGTCAGGAGGCCCATACCAACTTGGTCCCTGGCATTTGAAAATCTTTTTTTTTCTAGCTATTGCCACTCCATTCTATTACCAGGTCACAATTAGTCAAATTTACATATTGCATAGGGAATGATTTCTAGAAGGAGTGGTTCAAACCCACACAGTCTCCCTATGGGAGAAAGCCCTGGTAATCTACTCTGGTAAAGATTAAAGCCATGGGGTAGCTCTAGTCTGTCACATAGGGTCACTATGAGTCAGAATCAACTCAAGAGCACCAACAACATGACTTTTAGCATCTTGTATTTTATAAATAATTCTCCACCGGTGGACAACTTGGCTAAAATTGGTGGGGGGATTAAAGAATGCTGAGACTCAAGAGTTCAAGGATGCAGCTCAATAATCAACCATGAGAAATCTTTGGTTAACATTTTTCAATTAGGTTTGCTTTAAAATAATAGTATCAAATAAAATTATGCTATTAAATAGTGTCACCAACTGGGTTACAAAAAAGTGCCCAGAGGTTTTTTGTTTGTTTTGATTTTCTACCTTGCTGAAGACTTAATAATTTTGTCCAAGGGGAAACCATTTATAATTTCTGATTCATGATATAATGTACTTACTTTATGTACTTCAAAGCTTGTGAACTATGTTGTAGTCTCACAGCTAGCTCAGTGTTTACAAAACCTTTGTATCTGACAAAATAAACTGGACTCCTGTTCCTCCTGGTCATGTCAGTGTTCCTCAATGCCCAGTGTGCAAAATCACATTGGATGAACTTAGAATGGGACATAAAGGTCACTCTGCTCACACATATGCCCAACCTCAATTGGTCCCATTTCCTGCTCCATCTCCTCAATTGGTTCCTCATGTTCTCAAGATCCAGGAAGGCAGAAGAGGTGTACCAATTTCAGATAAAATAAAAAGCATTTTCAAAAACCTGTTGCCCAGTTGTCTTTAGGTGAGCTGCTGTTAAGCCATATCCCTGTCCTGAGACCTCCTCCATCCTGTAAGTACTGCAGACACCAGGCCAGGAAAATCTATTCTGCACTACCCTCTGGGAGCCTAAAGGAGCGTCTCCCTAAGGTTGTGACCCATCAAGGGCCAAGGCTCAGAACTGGCCACGGTTCTGACCTAGTGAAGTGTGCGGGGGTGGAGGGGGCAGGGGGAGCGACTTACCTCCCAAAGATGCTGCGTGTTCCTCACGGCGCCCGCCTGCACCTTCTCCGGGGGCAGGAGCACGCCCTGAAAGGGCCCAATCCAGGTGCCCTGCTGGATCCTCTGGGCCGCACAGATGCCGTAGGCCAGGCCAGGCACCGTGCTAGTGCACAGGCACACCTCCCTCGGCAGGTCCCGCAGCCACTCCGGCAACTCGGGCGGGGGCGCGGCAGCCGCAGCGCTGCTGGTGCCCACTAGCCGGCGAAGTGAGTGCAGAGGCCCGTGCATGGGGCACTCGCCGTTGCGGTTGTCCGCGCACATGTCGCAGCCTGCGGAGGACACGCGGGAGGGGGTGAAGGAAGAGCGTTAACCCGGCCGCCCTAGATGGTCCACCCTCATTTAAGCCCCTCTAGAGAACAGAATCCCCCGCTCAGGTAAACCACCAACTGTGGAGGTGGCGTCCTGAAGGTGCCCGAAACCCACGACCGTTCCCTTCGGATTTGCCTGACCCAAACCAGCCTGAAACGAGGTTGACACCCTGGCCTCCCAAAAAGCTTCCTGAATTGGTCGGGGTGGCTGCGTGGCTCTCGCAGCGGAACCGACGACTTGCGCTTTCTCGTTTCCCTCCTGTCCTTCTGCAATCTCTCCCTGGGTCTTGCCTTTCTCTCTCTCCCTCTCTATCACTCGTTCGCTTCACTAGTTCCCTTTGACCCTCTCACCCTTTCCCATGGTTTCTCTGTCAGGTGTTTTAAGGTGTGTTTATCTTTGTTGTATTACGACGGAAATCCTGTCTTTTGGTCGCCTGGGTATTTGGGTTTTTTCTTTTCACACTCATAGAGGTGAAACTGTAGTCATTTGGGCAGGTAAGCGACCCGTCTGGCGAGAGGTGGCATTCCCATTCCACTCGAGCTACAGGGCAGCGTGGGTCTGGAACCCCTGAAGAGTACGTTCTCCCCGAGCCCGCCCCGGCAGTGGAGAGCACGTCCCACAGGAGTTTCTCGAGCACCCGGTCTGCGCCCATTTTGTGCGCTCCTGTTCAAGCAAGAAAATACTTGATGTGATTATGCTTGAGAGCAAGCTCTTCCCAAAAGCAGAAACAAATTGCAAATGTAACGGTCAGGGTAATAGGTATTTAATGATAAGGATAATGGTCCATTGAGAGTGACGATGTAGAATAAGTACTGGACCACAAAGTCGGTTTGAACCTCAAGGACAGCGGTTCAAACTCAACCAGCCACTCCTCGTTCGAAAGCTATACAGGGAACCGACTAGACGGTACTTAACAACAACTGCTCCTGCCTGGATGGTTGATCCCGTGGCTACATGCGATTAGCTCTGGTAGCGTAGTGGTTACGAATCGGGCTGCGAACCTTAAGGTCAGCGGTTCGAAACTACCAGCAGCTCCGCGGGAGAAAGATGAGGCTTTCTACTCCCGTAAGGATTTACACCCTCGGAAACCCTGTACAGGGTCGCTATGGGTCGGAACCGACTCGATGGCACTTAACAACAACAACAACATATATACACTAAGTGCGAGCTGTTGTTGCTGAAGTTGAGGGCCCGCGGACCAGAGTATCCGATCTCCTCCAGGTCGGAAGGCCGTGGGCATCCAGTATCCCTCGCCTTGAGTTGGACGGGAAGAGACCGAGCGGCCGCGGGAAACCGGGCCTGCTGCGACCGCGCTGTCCGACTGCAGCGCCCTCCGGGTTATTAATGGATCTGGCGGAGCCACGGTGTCTGCGCCCTGGCCCGCGGGGCCTGCCCCGAGGAGGCGCCCTTGGCGCCCGCCAGTGCGACCTGGCCTCCCTGGCCTGGCCTTCCTAGGGAACCACGGCGCCCCCGTGCACGGATGCCCTGTAGACTGGGCTTCACCTCTTGGCAAGCCAGGATTGGCGGAAGCGGTGAGAGCCGGGCACCAGAGGGTTCGCCCTTTCTGGGAAGCAAGTCCCCATAGGGGCCTCTGAGCACCTGCGCCCGGTCTCAGTCGTAGGCAGGCCTGGTGGATAGCCCAGGTTATGCCATATCTGTGCTGAGACAACCGAAATACCCAAGGGACCTGTGACGAAAATGTCAGTAAGTAACCTTCGACAGAGGCACACCAAATCGCAACCCAGTATGGTGAGCAAAACCTTGTTTTGCCATTTGCTTCACAGCTATATGAGCATCCTTTAAGTCTAGGCAGGCTTTGGGCCCGAGCCAAGTGTGCCTTCTGGATGCTTCAACTACTCTTACATTCCTCCCAAGAGAGCCGCAGAGAAAGACGGGACCTTACTATAACAATAGCTTCTTGGAATTGTCTGCAGCCTCTCAGTTGAAAAGCAGCAACTTGTTTCTGTAGGTCATGAGGTATCCATGCCTCTGGACCTCCCTCACACATAAGCTCCCTTTGCCAACAGCATGTACTATATAAAAAAGTGTGTCAGGCTCTGTTTTTCACCCTAGGATAAAGATGAGACTATTTCCATCTTTATCCACGTGTTAACATCCTTCTTCTCAAGCTTTTGATTCTGAAGGGGGGGAAAAGCACAATATTTCAAGACATTAAGAAGCAAAGAAGATAATTAAAAACTCACAATATCAAGTCCTACTGTGGTGGCGTAGTATCAGCTTTGGACTGCAAATGACAAGGTCAGCAGTTCATATCCACCAGCTGCTTCTCAGAAACCCTATATAGGGTCTCTGTGAGTCAGAACCAGCATGACAACACTTAAAAACAACACTATGTGCTAGGCACCTATCTTGATCCACATAACTACCACAATATCTCATTATCATAGTTTCCATTTTGCAGATGGACCCATTGAGGTTTCAGGAGTATTGTAACTTAACCAAGGACCACAGCTAAAAAGTGGAGGGAGAAAGAATTCTCAGGTCTGCCTGGCCCCAAAACCTCCAAACCCAGAGATCTAGAAAGTCTGATGAAAGCTCAGAGATTTTATATCTAAATTCATGATATAACTAATATAGCAGAAGATCGGCAGTTCAAGCTCACCAGCTGCTCCTCGGAAACCCTATACAGGGTTGCTATGGGTAGGAACCAACTGGACGGCACTTAACAACAACAACCCAAAAAAATGTTGTATCATGATTTTGAGTTTTAAAGATTCCTCTGTTCCCATCCCCACCCCCAACTCTTGGGTTTGGGGAGGTTAAAGTAAGAATGAATGAAGAAGTAAATAGCGAATGTTCATAATTTTTCATTTTGGTGCCTACTATCATAATTGGCCTTTCAGCAACTTAGCAAAAATAGCTTAAAGGCAAATGACAATAAGCAAAAGAAAATCAAAATAGATTACCCCACAGAGTTGCTTACCTGGCTTTCCCTTTCTGGTTTACACTTAAGGAAGCAAAAGATAAGATGTAAGAACATTTAGTATTCACTCCCCAACAGCATGGACCAAAGATGCCAACTTCCAACACCTCCACCACATATAACATCACACCAACTACAACAGTAATGAAACTAGTAGCAAAAGTACCAACATCAGCTACTACCCCTACAGACAAGAAGCATACTTCCATTATTTGTACTGTGTGCTTATAAAACTATGGCTGAGTCCTTTCTCTAAGAAGTCCTCTGAAACCCTCTCCCACTTATTAAGCTTCCTTTGTTTCCACTAAACATTGAAAGAAAAATTAATAGTAACACTTGGCAGAGTGAAAACTAAAGTTCCCCCAACATCTTTTAGGCCCACAGCAAAAGAAGCAAGGGCAGTCAATTTTAATTAGTCCAGCCAACATGAGTTTTCTCAATTTGTAAACCACTTCATGCTATAGCAAAACGTTCTGCCAAAAAAGTTGACCAACTGCCATCAAAGTACATGTTATACTCGAATGCTATTGTTTTGTAATATAAAAACCTCAGCAACTGAAAGTCTTTGGCTTCCGACTAATGCCTCAGATTCCCAGAGGAGTTTAATGATATTTAAAACAAGCAACTTATTACTTGAGGTTTACAAATAGAAAGCAAGTGGACAAACATTCATACAAAATGCTCTCTAACCAGTGAGCCTTAAACACCTTTATGAAATGTTTGAGGGAGAAGTGAACTAAATGTCCAACTAGATATATAAATTATATATTTAAAGTATGTGTATTCACCATATGCTAGGCCAAGCAATACACAATTAAGTCTATTTGTGTTCCCAAAGAGGAGGCAAATAAATGTTCCCACTTTCTCTTAAAATCAGAAAAAGAGTTTCTATGCAAGTTCAGAATTATCCTTCATAGAGTTTCCTGTATCTGTGAGAAACATTTTCAAAGCTCCCTAGCAAGATATTTGAAATGCCACTGTCGATTTTCTATCTTGGATAGATGTGTTAATGCTCCTGTCTATTATGTGCCCACGGATAAAGGACAGGGAGTATCATCAGATTTCATACTTATTCACCTCCTGGTTTCAGAAGACCAGGCCAAGGGGACTGAAGATCTTTCACTCCCATGTATATCCTGTTTTGTTGAATGTTTTACAAATGCATGTACTACTTTTGTAATTTAAAGTGGATATATTCATCAGCTGCTCCTTAGAAACCCTATACAGGGTCGCTATGGCTCAGAACCCGACTCGAAGGCACTCAACAACATGTTCTATGTTAAAGGAGACAGCGTAGGCCATGGTTTTCCTTTCTGGGATTTCATTTTTCATTCTAGCAGAGGGAAAATGTAAATGTTCCAAGGCTTTGCGTGTCTGGGGAGGCCGATCTGCACGTGTGGACGAAGGCAGAGTCACGGCCCCGTTGGGGAGCGTCCGCCAAACTAGGCCTTCGCCTGCCCGCACCAGCCCTCTCGCAAGGGAATCAAGGAGCAACTGAAAAGCTTGCTGGGCGGCGGTACCCGCTCGGGCAGTAAATCCTCCGCGACCGCCACCTAGGTCGCGGCCTTTAGTCCCCCAGGCCGAGTCCGACGAGGCCAGCATTTATCGATCCCCGCACGGAGCAGCGGCCCCAGCGGTGTGCGCAGTGCCGCGTGAGCCCTGGGTGCGGGAACTGGCCACGAGGGCTGGGGGCGCGAGGTAGAGGAGACTGGGGTGTTGTGTGGACCGTGGACCAGGCAGGGAGTCGGTTAAGCTTGGTGGCATCCGGAAAACCTCCCTCCCTAGAGTTCACGCCCCCCCGGGGCTGTAGCCGCTCTCTCTCACTCTCGCTCGCTCTCTCCCTTTCTGTCTCTCAGGCTGGATGCTGGATGATGGGGGCTGCGGGTGCACTAGGTGGGGCGCTCTGGCTGGCGGGAGACCTCCGCATCTCAGGTTGCCTTTTGAAGGCCTGGCTAGACTAAAGGGTGTGGCCGACGCCACCACACTCTGAAGTCCCTGCAGCCCCACATCATTCTCACCACTCAATCCACGAAGCAGGGGTCTTCCAGGCTCCCGGACGGAAGATCCAGAAGCTTAGTAGGTTAGTCCCTCCATGAGGTAGAGGAACTGGCTGTGGTCTAGCCCCGCGGGGGCGGCCCAGCTCTCAAGGAACTTTCCTGGGGACTCTATACGAGTTTAAAGCCCAGCGCCAATCACAGACGCACTGGGCTTTCCCGCCAGTCTGGCTGCGGGCTTGGCCCTAGGACCAGGAAGGAGAGACAAAAGGAGGAGGGAGAGAGGAAGGAGGGAGGAAGAAATGTGGATTTTATTTGTCTCCCGATGACTGTATTAATAAATTAAATGGGAGCTCCAGTGTGTAAGGGTGAGAGAATATTGCGTGGAGATAAACCTCGCCGGCCCCTGCCCCTGCGAGGCCGCCATATACAATGCGGAGATGATGAATAGGAGCCGCGAGAGGAGATCGAAGTGGGCCTGGGCTGGCTCTACTCTCTCTTACAAAACTATAGGGCAATTAATTGTGGCTTGTCCCCTCATCCTTCATCTCCTGGTGGCACATATCGATGGAGATTACTGCTGATGGACCATTTTATCACCTTAAATAAACAGTCGCCACCTCTTCTAACCTCAATCTAATATATGGCTCTATGTTCAGTTTCAGGGCGCTAGATAACGAATGATGTAAAACAGCTAAATCATGTGTGTTACGGGATAGTTCTGGGCTTGCACACATAAAAGAGAAAGAAGGGAAAAAAAGAAAAAGAAAACACACACCGATGCTTAATCCCCCCTCCCACTAAGGACAGGTCTGAAATCCAAGTCGCTCATAAGCTTTTGATGGAGGGGCTACTGGTTGGGAGGAACGCAGCGGCTGTGTGCCTGCTAATGGCAGAAAGAGCGCTGCTAGGTCACTGGGCTCGGGGATCCCGAATAAATCCACGATGCTAACTGAGTGGGAAGGGATTGGGGCAAGAAGGGAAAATATTTACCCTCCTGTGGTATCTCTTGCTAACCCCAAATTGTTGTTGTTGTTGTTAAGTGCCTTCGAGTCGGTTCCGACCCATAGCGACCCTGTACAGGGTTTCCGAGGGTGTAAATCCTTACGGGAGTAGAAAGCCTCATCTTTCTCCCGCGGAGCAGCTGGTAGTTTCGAACTGCTGACCTTATGGTTCGCAGCCCGTTTCGTAACCACTACGCTACCAGAGCACCCCAAATTAGTCTCCCCTTAACTGGAAAAACTAGAGCTGGATCCACATGTCCTTCTCTCTCCTGGTCCCTCTTCACAAAAGTAGGAGAGTCTCCAGCTTCTTGCACACCTGCTCTCAGGCCAGTGCTGTTCCCAGCGCTGTTCCCTACATTGCAGGCTTCCTATGTCAGGGTTCTTTAAGTCAGAAGGGGATAGAGAGGGGCCTTGACTTGCAGAGGGTGCAGGGTGGTCAACTTTAACTCATCCAAGTGGCAGGTTTGTCTATTATCTCCTCTAGAGGTCTAAGAAAGGTACACCACACAGACTCACATACACACAAACACACAGTATGAAAAGCTAATTAGATCAGCTGTACACAAGTACGCAACCTGGTATCAAACAACAGGCCACCTCTCCCTACCTTCCAAAGGTCTCAAGACAACACAGAACCCAAGGAAAGGTCACTATGACAGAACCTTACTGAATCAGTGGCTTCAGAGAAGTCCGCAGTAAATGAAGGCAAGTAGGTAATATAAAGGAGCTCTGGTAGCGTAGTGGTTACGAATCGGGCTGCGAACCTGAAGGTCAGCAGTTCGAAACTACCAGCAGCTCCACAGGAGAAAGATGAGGCTTTCTACTCCCGTAAAGATTTAAACCCTTGGAAACCTTGTACAGGGTCGCTATGGGTCGGAACCGACTCGACGGGCACTTAACAACAACAACAACAACAGGTAATACAAGAAGGACATCCCATCATTTATATTACACAACACACTACTTGACTTCAAAGAGAAAAATGAAGAGACAGGTAAGTATTCAGAGCTTTGGTGTAAAGTTTACTTCACTCACAGATAACAAATATATTAGGGAGAGCCCATTTGAGCTGAATTGTACAATTTCTGCTGGTTTAAAATCTTTTTGTGAGGAAGAGAGCTACAAGCACCTTCATAATGGTATTTGCCAAAGATCAACAAAGTTTCAAGGTTATAGGTGTGTGTCTGTTTCCCTTTTTTATTTGTTTTGTTTTGTTACAGAGAAATGACATCATGAATTGCTGAGTCCAGGTAAAGTTATTCTCTTATGAAAACGGGATAAATAAAGAAGCAACTTTCTTTGCCTTACATCAAAGAGAGTTACTTGATAACCTTTTTAAACACAAAGTGACAAAATTAAGCTATACTGAGTAGTCAAGTCACAGAATTCTTTAGGAAGAATGGCAAAAGACCAAAAAGAAAACTAGGAAAATCAATGCATAATAAGTTAACAGGTACCTCGCCGTCCTCTTCTCCCCACTTCCCACCCCCATCTCTGTCATCCACTCTCAACCAGGAATGAGGGAAAGCTTCTGGTTTTCATGGTGTTTCAAGTAGCAAACAAACCAATTTTCCCTGTAAAGTGAGAAATGAAGTTTCTCAACATTTACATTTGGGATTTGTTTTGAGATTAAACTCAATCACTTTCATTTCATTTAATTTAAAAAAATAAATGCTATGGTTTCAAATGTGTGCCTACATTTTCCAGGAGAAATTGCTGAAACAAAAAAAGACAGCTCATCTCCAAACATTACACAGGACTACCTCAGCTTTCCATTCTTTCTCAAGGGCCATTTAATTAGTAAGTAATGTGAGGTGTAGCTCCAATAGGACAATCTGCTTTCCCTTCCCTTCTCTTTTTCCCTGTACTTTGCACTCTTTTCCCCCTGTACTTTGCACACTGAAGTAGTCCAGTTGACTCAAAATGATCTATCAGAAGTTTAACACAGTAAGGACAATTTAAATAAAATCCTAATTCATTTCCTCCAGACAGAGAAAAAGTTACCTAGGCTATAAACTGGCTCAATAGCCATATATTAATTAGGAATCTACTCCAATTTCTTCTCTAATTAATCTAGGTTTTCTCTTAGTGAAAATGCATTAGATCTCAAGACTGAATTGTAAACAGTGTAGGGAGTTGAGCACACAGCCAGAGCTTTGGGGTGCACTGCTGGTGTATTTTCTACTACTGGTTTAATTCAGAAGAGAAACTGCAAACATGATAAAGCTCTCCTAGCCCATCATGACATTAATGGATGGTTAGAAATACCTCTTTCAAAAATTTTTTGACTTTTTATTTCACATTTTTAAAGAACTGCTTTGAAAAGCAATGCATTTGAGAAATTCAATAGGAGATAAGCATTTTTGAGGTCCATACGATTTTCTGAAACTCTGAAATACAAGTCTCCTGAACTATAAAGCAAAAACCACATTTTAAACTAGTACATTACCCCAAGACTATAAAAAGGAAAAGTTAATACAACTCTTCATTTATTATTTTTTTAGTAATAATGATCTGCATCACAACAATTATATCCAATAATCATAAAGAGATTAATATAGCTCATTCACTGGACTGAAGAAAAGATATTTCATGAAAAATCTTTTCAACAAGGAAACTTTGGAAATCCTTTAAATAGCTATAACCTAAAGTTATTTTGCTTTTACAATGAATTAAGAAGTTCGTGGAGAAGTAGACATTCTGCAAGAAGCGACTTCTTTAAAATATAGTCACAATAAATACATAGATCAATTTATCTCATACACGTATACAGAAGCTAGGTGAATAAATGAGGTGGAGAAAAATAGCTGAATGAATGATGATCTTTCAAATTTTAAATTGCTTTCAACCTGACTCTCATCTTACTTTAATGCTATCTCCAAAGGAAGTGTATTTAGCACTTTTAAAACCCCAAAACGTTAGGTGTAATCACACCGTAACTTCTGAAATTATTAAAAAGGAAGTGAATATAAAATAATATGCATTCTTGATTCTCACTTAGTTTTGCTTCAAACATCAAAAACTCAACTGCATTTGTGATAAGCTGCGTGTGCAATTAATGTAGGAATCAAAGCTAGAAGACCCTGATGTTTACTTAGGCATTTGTCATTTACTTCGGGGAAGACTGGAGTAATTTTACTATATTATTATATAACCCTAATTTAAATAAATAAATAAACCAATAAGCGTGGCTACGGATTGAGAGCGTTTTCGGGATCACGGATGCGCAGAGTAAAATGCGGATCTACAAAGAACTACGCTGTTCTTGAAGTCGAAAAATTTCTATCACTAAGCCGTGGAAACTTTCCTTTCCTCCCTTTCTAGATAAATTTAGATGAATAGCAGACATAACAATAATGCCTGAGCGAGAGACACCCATGTCATCCTCAGGATTCCAGGCATCCTGGTCCGTCCCAACCCAAAGCGGCAAAAAGCCAACACAGTTAACTTCAAAGAGCGGGTAAAAGAGTAGAAACAACCCTAACCTTCACGCTTCCTAAGAACGATAAGAGTCCCTCTTAGGGCCGATGGTGCCGTCCCGGGCACTCCCTGTCGCGTCCTTCCACCACCCGCGCCGGGCACTGTCCAGCGGAAGGGTGGAGGTCTGTATCCTACGATTTGTGTGCAACTCTAGCCCCAAGGCCGCGAAGGGGAGGAAGTGGGGAGGAAAGGTAACCCCGAAGTACCATCGGCCACCCCATCCGTTCTCCTTTCTTCAGAAAACTTTGATTCGGCGCCCTGGAAGGTCAGAGCCCACGGCCTGGTACAGCCCGTCACCCTCAACCCGCCAACCCTGACCGGAGCCCTCCTGCGCCACCGCCCCAGGAACAAGCACGCCGGCTCCGGCTACGTACGGTTGTTGGGGTCGCTGGTGTGCTGGTTGAGCGGGATGATCTCCATGCGCTGCTGGCCGTACAGGTAATAGTCCAGCTCCTCCGCGCTGCAGCGAAAGCGCAAGGCGCCCCGACCATCCCCACCGCCGCCACCGCATTTGGTGGGTCCTGGGCCCGAGGTGACACCGAGGCACAGGTCCTTAGGAGGCAGTGGCTCTGCAGCAACAGCAGCGGCGGCCAGAGGCGCGAACACCGGCAGCTGCGCCACAGGCAGGGCTGAGAGACCCGCCAGCGCGGCAGCGGCGGCACAGGAGGAGGCGGAGGAAACCGAGGTGGAGGAGGAGGCCGGGGTGGAGGAAGCAGACGAGAGCGACGAGGGCCGCGGGCGCAGGCTTTCCGAAGGGGGTTCGGCACGCTCGGCCGGCGGAGGAGGCTGGAGGGGCTGCGGCGTGCCCAAAGGGCCTGCGACACTGCCACCCTTGAGCGGGCCGCCACCGCCGCTGTGCGGGAAGAGTTGCTGCCAGTGTTGTAGATAGGCTGGATCCACTTTGAGGAAGGCCGAGCCGCCGGGGTCTCCGGGCTTCAGCATGTCCGATGCCTCGAGCTGGGTGCAAAAGGAGGAAGGAGGGCGCGCGTGAGCCGGACCAGGGCCAGGGGCGAGAGGGGCGTCGAGGCGACCTTTGGGGCTCTGGAATCAGCGCCCGAATCCCTTGATTCCACCAGTGGCTGTCGGATTCCGGGACTCCCTCTTCCAACTCCGCTAGGCGCAAAGTTTTCTCCGAAGCCACGGCGCCATGCGAGAGAGCAGCGTGCACGGCGCCGTGGTCCGGCTCAAGCGGCACCTAGCTCCCACCCAGCACTACTGAAGCCCAAGGAGAAGACACATCCCCACAGAACTCAACCACAGCACCAAGTCCCCGCCAGCAGGATGCACCCGAGGTCAACCCCGGCCGGAGTGGTGCAGCGAACCGGCCGCTTGGGCCTCAGGCGCCAGGAGGCGGGACGTCCCGGTGTCGCCCCCCGCCTCCAGCCCGAGACCTCCAGCTTCCTTACCCACGGGACCTAACACTCAGTTGCAACCCAGACAAACCACATTTTACCTGAAAACTCTGAGCCTCTGGCGGATGAGTGCGTGTTTGTGTCTCGGTGAACGTGAGGGAGCGAGTGCGCCCCGTGTGCGCTACATGCCCCTAGGCAGCGCAGGAGAGTCCGAAGTCTCGGGCCGCCCAGGACCCTTCCGGGCCGCGAGCAAAGGATGCGGAGACGCACCGAGTGCGCGCGGAGAGCACCGCCGGGGGCGCAGGAGCACGGGAGTATCCGAGTGCTGGACTGAGCCGCCTTGGGTTTCTGCCCTTGGCCGCCACCGCGTCCCGGCTCCTCGACTCCGCGCTCTGGCAGCCTCCCGGCTGGACACGTGGGTTTTACGACAGCACAAAATACAAGTGTGTGTGTGTGTGTGTGTGTGTGTGTGTGTGTGTGTGTGTGTGTGTAAAGAGAGAGAGATGGGGGAGGGCGGTGGGAAGGCATGCAAGAAGAGCGAAGGGGAGGGGAGAGGGATAAAGGAAGTTTTAACTTGGCTGCATACACATTCCGCCTGCGTGCCTCTCCCGCACAAATACCTCCTCAGTCCTCCTAGCCCCCACTTTTTTGGCGTGACGTCTCCCGCTCGCCACTTTTCTCTTGCTGCCCAAGACTTGTCTTTTCTAAGTGCCTGCTCAGAGCCCTAATCCTGGAAGTAGAGGAAACGCGGAAACGGCAATACGTCTCTGAACAAGCTCGGGAGTTGCACTAAAGTGGGCGCGCTCGGCCCCGCGAGCAAACCGAGTCCCGGGACTAAGTTTGCACTTTCGCCCCACTCAGTTTTTCCTGGAGTGCTGATGGGTGCCAGAATCGATGCGTCGGTCACTCAACCTCCTACAAAAAAAAAAAAATTCTCAGGGGAGAAATTTCGGGGGCGGAGCGGGAAGGGCGGATTGAGCACTGAAGAGAAGCCTTTATAGCAGGCGGCCCAGGAGGCTGTCTCTGCCAGAGAGGCGTGGGACACAGGAGACTGGACCCGATGGGATTCTGGCCCTACGGGGAAGTGGGGAAGTTGGGAGGTGGCTGCATTGGAGTCTGTACTCTGTCTAACGCTTAGCGACCCCCTCTCCGGTTGTGTGTCTCCTCCTTGTTGGCACCCGGGGGCAAGTATCCAGAGCTACGTCTGGTGGCACAGCTGCTTCCGCGCATGTTTGCTTAGACTTTAACGACTGCGCCAAATGCAGGTCCTATGCTCCCGAAACTACGAGGTTTGGGGGGCAAAGGCAACTACGCACTCCCCTATCCCACTCCGGGGACTTCGGGCCGTCATTTGGTGTGTGGCTACGCGTCTACAAATTAGGCTCCATTCTCCAGTCCCGCCTGGTATTGGAGGGTACCCGGCGGCGAGAGAAGGCTATGAAATTGACCCGTAGCTCTGGCACGTTCCTGTCACTGAAGCTACAAAGGAAAGAGATGGCATTTGTCTTTTCCCAAGCAATAGCTTATTTGGCATTCAGCACTCTGAAAAATTAATAGCCACTTTTTCCTGCTTCTACCTTGTTTCTTTTTGTCTTCTCACCGAGCATTTTAGTCTGAGCCTGGGAAATGCGCGGTTTAGATTTTGCCCCAGTAGCACGCAAGATGCCACAATACTGGTTGAAACAGAGTCAGACTGAAAATGTTTTGACTGGCGTCGTTGTGACAAGGTTATCAGTCATCCCTGAACAGATTGATGTACCTAAATTTAAGGCAAACACCACGAGGGAAAACCCACGGTACTGTGGACCCCGAGGCTAAGCAAGAGGTCTCCGCGGGCATTGAGCAGCTAACTCCATCAGAAGGGGAGAATTAAGTTCCAGATCTATTTCAATTAATCTGCTCGCAGAACTTCCTAAGAGTGTTGGACGACGGGAAAAGGGGAAAACTCACTCTCTCACACTCTCCTTGCCCAGTGAAGAGAAATATGGGCAGTTCTCTTTTCTCTGAGACTGGCTAAGAGCGCAGGGAGTGGAAGTCTGGACGCCACTGCAGCTGGGTCCTGCAACCCAATTTCACCTTTCTGTCCAAACCTGCTTCTTCCATGCACCCAAACCCCCAGGAATGGATATCACAGAGCACTCCCACGCAAACACACACAAGAAAATCTCGGAGGCTTTCAGACTGGCTACAGCAACTGCACGTAAGACTTCATGGGCCCATAATCATGGAAATTCTCGTCTTAATAAGATTAGCTGACGAGATAAGGAGCGCTTGCGATGTGCCAAGCATTAGTCCTCCTAGCAACCTTCGGGAGTACACATGTCACTAACACCATATTACAGATGAAAACACTGAGGCTCAGGAAGGTTAAGTACATTGCCCACGCTCTATTAATAAGTGATGGAGGCTGATTCAGACCCAAGTCAATAATAAGATGACTGTGCACTCTAGTCAAACCTCTACCAATCTCGTCAGGACGGACCTTCTTCAGTGTCTTTGGTGGGGGTGATGGGGTTGAGTCATCACAGAAGAGACTTGGTTGCTGCGGAACCAAAATAAGATCAGACGTTCGCACCACCCCATTTCCCATACCTGCATATGGTGTTCCTGATCCGCCACCTTCGAAGCGTCCCAGAGGACAAGGTTACACTCCACGCGACAGGACCCTAGGGCCCAGAGGACTAATAGACTTCGCTTTAAGGAGGTGAGAGAAAGTTAAACTCAGGCGCCGTGAGCTCCAGGGAAAAGTCGCGAGGGGAGCACTGCGTGAGTCTGGGCATCCCAAAACCCTTCCCAGGTCGCCCTTGAACAGCCTCAGCCCCTACGGTAATTTCCGGCAGGAGGGAGGCGCTGACTAGGGTAGTGGTCCGCACAGTCCTCCCATCCCCCTGTGCACCACTGCCAGCAATGCGAGCCGGACAGTGGTCGGCTGGAGGCTTGATAGACGCTGCGAGGACAGCTTTCCCCTCTGTTGATCCTGGACCCACTGGATCTCGACCGCCCTAGGAAGTCTAGGAGGAGCTTTAGAGAAGTGTAAGCCCACCGACCACAAGGGCACGAACCCCTCAAATTGGTACCCCTCTCTTCGTTACTTAGAAGATGACCTCGGAAACAAGTCGCTTCGACCACTTAGGAAGCGATCAAACCTTTATAAAAATCCATCGCTCCCAAATCGATGGGCGAATATTTGCTGGGAATTTGTTCCAGAGGAATAAATAAGAAGCGTGAGTGTATTAAATGCAAACGGGGGGACACGGTGGTGTTTTTCTTCATTGATTAATGACCTCTAAAATAAAACAAGTGGGAAGAAGAGCCAGGATCGATAAATTAACTACCCAAATTCATCATTTTCTCAAGCAATTTTTTTCTCTAAAATTATCCTCAGGAAGTACCTTAGCTCTGAGAGGAAGAAGAGTCAGAGGCCACAGCAAATAGGGAGTGGCAGAAAGGGCAGGCGAACAAGAAAGGGATTCTGTCTGGAAGACCCTCTATCTGATTTCGTTTGACATACAATTTAAAAGTTTGCCTTTCATATTAATTAATTTTTCCTGGTGGGGGGAGGGGAACAAATGGTCGGTTGCTTTTGACAGGACTCCGATAAAGGATTCAGCAGTTCTCCTCTCTGCCCTCGGCGCTCCTGCTTCTAGGTTTAAGGTCACGGGTGGCTGAGTTAATAATTCATTAATATAGACATTTATTCAGAAGGGCTCTCTGAGATCCACTCTCCTGGCCTCCTCCCAGAGATTTATTTTCTGGGGAAATGGATAGGGAGGAGGGTTGCAGGTGAAAGGAGGATGGGGGAGGGAAGGGGTAGTGGAGAGAAAGGCTAGATACAGCTAGGACAAATCATCCCTTAGATTAGTAGGCAGGTCCCTCTAACCTGCTTTGTCAAAAAACTTGGTTAAAAATGTGGCATCCAAACAGCAAAGGGACTCTAGTCTCTAGTGGTCCTTTCTCCTTTTATACCTATTCATTTACACTTGTGCAGAAATCTCTGTTGGTCCAGGCTTAGGAACTGAGCAGAGCTATCTAACTGAAGACCTGGAAATCCAGGCAAAGGGGGAGAAAGCTCTAGAAAGAGAACACCCCACCTCTTGAGCTCCCCAAAGGAAAAACTTGGAAACTTGCCCAGACCTGCTATCTGAATGAACCCCTTCTCATCAGGACGCAGGCAATCTCTGGTGCCTATTTATCCAATCAGAAAGGGAACTATAGGCATACCATTAAAACAAAACACAAAAGTCCTCCTGACAGAAAGTGGACAATAAACAATCATTCAATTAATTGTCTGATGACAATAGGTGCTATAGATAGCAATGAATAAAGGATAAAGGAAATGAAAGGAATGAATAAAGGATAAAGTGCTGCTGTAATGCTATAGGATAAGCACTGGACAGAATGGTCAGTTTGAATTGCAAGGTTGGAGGTTCAAACTTACCACAGGCTCCTCGGAAGCCCTCTACAGGGTCATTATGAGTGAAACTTACAACAACAATAGGTGGATGGTGTTACTATCTTAAATATAGCAGTCAAGGAAGGCTTCTCTTACAATGAAATTTGAATAGAGATTTAAAATATGAGGATGTCAATTTCCTGCC